ATGACATTTTTCAAACATACAAGTTAAAAAAATAGCATAATGAACATCTGCAAACTCATCTTCCAGAACTTTTTTTTTTTGAGACAGTCTTACTTTGTCACCCAGGCTTGAGTGCTGTGGCATCGGCCTAGCTCACAGCAACCTCAAACTCCTGGGTTCAAGTGATCTTCCTATCTCAGTCTCCTAAGTAGCTGGGGCTACAGGTGTGTACCACCATACACAGCTATTTTTTTTTTTCTATTTTTAGTATTTTAGGGGTCATGCTATTGCTCAGGCTTGTCTCAAACTCTTGACCTCAAGCAATCCTCCTGTCTTGGCCTCCCAGAGTGTGAGCCATTGGGCCTGGCTGGTCTTCTAGAACTTTTGATTTTTGAATATAATTTTTGGGTAGGCTAACCTGGAATGAATTTTAATGACTAAACTGAGACTGTCTTTCTTCTCCTTTTTAAAATCCAGTTTTTAAAAATAGCCATTTTGTTATTTTGTTATTTTTTGATGTTGTTGTTTATTTATTTATTTTTTTTTGAGACAGGGTCTCACTTTGTTGCCCAGGCTAGAGTGAGTGCCGTGGCGTCAGCCTAGCTCACAGCAACCTCAAACTCCTGGGCTCAAGCAATTCTACTGCCTCAGCTTCCCAAATAGCTGGGACTACAGGTGTGTGCCACCATGCCCGGCTAATTTTTTCTATATATATTAGTTGGCCAATTAATTTCTTTCTATTTATAGTAGAGACAGGGTCTCACTCTTGTTCGGGCTGGTTTTGAACTCCTGACCTCGAGCAATCCGCCCACCTCGGCCTCCCAGAGTGCTAGTATTACAGGCGTGAGCCACTGCGCCCAGCCTATTTTGTTATTTTTATAAATCAAAGTTCTGCATGTAAAGAGTCAAATAGTTTTATAAGATTTGTTACAAAAAAATAATCAGATTCTTGCCCTCTTCCCCATTTCTCTCTTCCTATTTGGTGTTTAATAATTACTCTTAACATCATGCTTGTGTTGTTATTTCTTGAACTTTGACTTTTAGGCATTAACAATTACCTTCCTACTTTGGGAAATGAAGCTTTAAGTTCTTTGTCCCGCCCCAATCTCCACCACACACACCCACGTTTCGTATTTCCTAGTCTTCCTAATAGAGTTATCTCTTAATTTTCTTGTACCAGTAATCAGTGTTTGTCTTATAATGAATACCTGCTATTCAGGACTGAGTAGTTTAGTAAACCAGGTACTTTTCCCTTCCAGCTCAACAATTTATTTTCCTTTGAGTAATTGTCTTTTCTTTTTCTTATTTGCTTAGTTTTCTATGAATTCATCACTAGGGCTGGATATAATTTCTATTGGCGGTCCTCTTTAAGCAAATAAATGTAAAATTACAAACACAAAATTAGGTACAGGGCCTTAGAAAGGACTCTTGCAAATGAAGGGTCCTGGAATTTAAGCTTGCTTAGTTTCATAGTAGATCACCTCTGGCTTTAATGATAACTCTAAACTTTTTACTAATTGTTTAAATCTCCTCTTAAGACATTTAGAGGTATTAGGCAATTTCTTTTTATCTTAGGAAAAAGAATTCCTGGAGCATTCTGACTGCTGCAGTTTGGACCCGTAGCTCTTTGTGGCTGTGTTCAGCTTCACCCTGGGATCTCCCTTCACTGTCAGGAGTCTCTTCACTTTACTCTTGCCTCGAATCCTTCTTCTTGTTTCCGTTCATTCTTCTGTCTTTACTCCTTTCAGTGGCTTCTTGGGAAAAGATGCCTAAGAGGTAAAATTTTCTTTGGAGCTTGTATGTTTGACAGTGTATTTATTCTACCCTAAATTTGGTTGATAGTTTGTCTGGGTATAGAAATCTACATTGGAATTAATTTTCTATCATGATTTTGAAGACATTGTTCCATCTTCTTTTGGCTTCCAGTATTGCTGCTGAAAAGTCTGACATCATTCAAATGCTTGATTCTTTCCATGTGACTGTTGCTTTCTGTCTAGAATATTACAGGATTGCCTCTTTATCCCCACTGTTTTGAAATTTTATGATATGGGTCTTTTTTCATTCCTTATGCACCAGGCACTCAATCAGCTATTTCATATGGGAAAACTTGTGTTGTTCAGGTTCTAAAAACTTTATTAATGGATTATTTTCTCTTTTCTGTTTTTTCCTCTTATCTCTTTCTCTGAAAAAAGTTATTTTTCTTGTGCCTTTCTGTGGTCTGTTTTCAGCTCTGAGTCTCCTGCATCTGTCTCTAATATTCTTATTGATTCTAGCCCATTTTCTAGGTCTTTATCCTTTTGCTTTACTTTCTGTGAGACTTGCTTAACTTTATCTACCAACTCTTTTACTGAGTTTTCAGTTTTCTTATCATATGTATATATATATTTTGAATATTTCTCCCTTTTAACCACCTTTTCCTCCATAGTATTTTGTTCTTGCTTTACACTCTACTATTTTATTACTCTGAAGATATTCGTAATAGTTTTTTTTTTAATTTTCTTCACTTTACATAGTCTCTTTCCTTCCTCTGCTTTTTTTTTTTTTGATTGTTTTGTTCTGACCTCTGTCTTGCTAGAACCATTCTGCAGATGTTTAATAATCTTTGATATTTGAGAGTGGGCAACTCAAAAGCTGATTGGAAGGTCTGAGTGCATGGTGATGCCTGTTGCTTGTGGTTGTCGTTGTTTGATGTCCTGGCAGGGCCACTGGGTTGGGGAGCCCCTAATATCAGTATTGGCCTGATTCCCAGAGAAGGCTCTTTTGATCTCCTGCCTGAAGGTTAAAGGCCTGCCTATCAGCCTTCTGTTTGTAGTTTTTGGGGAAAGGGCTGGGATTCTCAACACTATGCTGCATACTTTCATTATCACCCTGTTTTTAGTACCCTTCTCCTACCTTGAAACATGGCTGGTGCTCCCAGTCCAAAGACCCTGTATTTTATTATACTTATTATAGAATAAACTTCCTGTCTTCTGCTAGTATGAGAAAGGTGATCTGGGAATCTAATAATTTATTTTTCCCCCTGTTAATATCACTTTTATTATTACTCAGATATGAAATTATTGCCATGCTGTTCTCCAAAAAGACTGAACCAATTAGCAACAAGTGAGAATTTCCACACAGCCCTGCCAGTATTTTTAAAAACCAGCTTTCTTGAGGTAAAACAAACATGGTATAAACTGCACATATATTTAAATTGTGTAATTTATGTTTCGATGTAACCCTGTGAAAACATCACCATAATCAAGATAGTGAACATATTCATGATCTTATCAATTTTTCCATCCTTTTTATAATTCCTTCTCCTCCCCTCCTTCATTCCCAAGGAAACACTGATCTGCTGTCTATCACTGTAAATTATATTTTCTGGAATTTTATACAAATGGAATCATACAGCATGTGCTTTCTGGGGTCTCTCTTAATCAACCTCTGTACAATCTTTCTTATTTTACCCATCCCTCCCATCCTACCCTTAAAGGTACGAGCTGGTGATTGGTTCCTGACTTTTCCATGGCTTGCTTAGGATCATCTATCACTTGTCCAACTGCTCTCCAGCTTTCAGATTTTTTTTTCTTAAATAAACTCCAGTATAAGGCAGAGAAATCTTTAATTGCTGCTATGAATGTGAACTCAGTGAAGTGAATGCCAGGGAATTGTGCGACTGATAAAAAAATGTATCCCTGACCCCTACATCATTGCTGTTTCCTCTTCTGTTCTTGTGGTTTTGTGCATTTAAAAATTCCTTTAATATTACTTTAATGGGGTTTGGGGAAAGCAATAGAATTAGGTGCAAGAGTGCCTAGCTACCATCTTTTTCTGGAACCTGGGAATATTCATAGATGAAAGTTATTCACCAGAAAGTTCTACATTGGCCTGAGATATCAGAGAGGTCTGACAGAGCATGTTTGAAGGCAGTTGCTGGAGAAAAATAAAACCATTTCTGGTTTGCACTTCATTAAGTTCAAATCATTCAGTATTTTGTTTACATGTGGGATTCAGTAAAAAGCAGCTTCCTTTCACTGCTTCCCCATCTTTTTTCCTTTCCTCCTTCTATAGCAGCAGCTGTTTTGCAAAACTTCTCAGGAGGAGAAGGTGCCAGGCGATGAGTAAGGGAGAAGTCTTGTAAAGATAAAGGAGATGCCACAGCTCAGTTCAGGGTGGTGTGAAGGTCAGTGGAGACGTCTCTGGTGTCGGTTAGGGCTGGGTCTCCCTGGCAGGAAAGAGAGGGGTGGGGAAAAGGAAGAGAATCAAGGTTGAGACACCAAATATAGTGAATCTGGGGCTTAGAGCCAGGGAGAGCACTTTGGGAGGTCTGAGCCTGCAGGGCTCAGCTGATGAGCGGCAGCCTCAAGTCCAGGGAGGACTTTCTTGGTGGCCAATAGAAAGTTCTTTCCTTACACAGAGGGGCAGAGAGGCTGCTGAGCTGGTGGCATGGAGAGACATCCCTAGGATGGGTTTGGGAAACAGGCTCGGCCAGGGGCTACAAGATTCTTGGTGAGGAGTCTTTTTCATTCCTGATCTTAGAAAATGGAATCCAAGGCTGCCTGAGAGTGGAGGGTGGGTAGGAGGAGGAAGGGTGGATGGGGCTTAGGCCCAGGATTTCCCAACAACCACTGCCCAGCTGTGCCTCAGAGACTCTGCTGAGGTCACTCCGAACATCAGAGATCCTTAGCCTTCCTGGATGGTATTGACAGACCGAACCTTATTACAGCATCTATTTCCTGCTCTTTCGATGAAAGTTCAAAGGTCATCATTTCCTCTTGCAAAGTAAGTTCCACAAATATTCCATTTCTAGCCTTAGAAATAGCAAAATAACCGAGACATTATAAACTTCCTGTGCTGGGGAATTCCCAAGGAAGCTGAGGCAGAGGTCTGGTGGAAACAAAGTGAATTCAGAGTGATTAATCAGTAGCAGTGGCAGTAGCAGTAGCAGCAGCAGAAACCAGAATTTCCTGGCACGTGTCCCATGCTCTCATTTGCCAACTCAGTCTCTAAGTATTTCTATTGACAGGAAAAAAAACTAGCTGTGGGTGAAAGAATTCATTTTTCAGACATGAGCCTCCACCCATTGTGTGCTTAGAAGCCTGTCTCTCTTAACCTTTCTCTGGGATGGCAGATGCAAATGTTCCTGATGTCACTGTCAGGAAAGGGGATTGAGTGGGTATGTTCCATGCTTGAGTTCTGGAGCCTAGGAGAGTTACAAACTAGAGTCCAGTACCTTATTCATCATTCTCCTGTGTGAACAGCTGTGGTGTGAGGTCCGAGCCTAGGGTCTTCCTACCATCTCTGAGGGAACAAAATTCTCAACCAGCCTGAGATGTTTCTGTTATAGTGAGGCGTAATTTTTGGTGGTGGTGGTGGGGACTCAGGTGTTATTTCCACACACTTTGTTTTAAAAGCTAGACATCTTACACGGGAGAGGTGGCATGGTGAGTCAGTGTGGGATCAGAAGAACCAGTCCAAAAAGTAGAGTAGGGCAAAGTTCAGGGCATTGAGGGCTACTGCATGTGGTGACACGAAAGGGAGATGTCTGAATAGGAAGGACATGCTATATTGCTTATTCTCTCTGGGTCTCAATTTACTCATCTAAAATGGGATCATTTATTCATTGGACATTCATTAAGCTCTTGTCCTGAGCACTGTGTCAGGCACTAGACTAAAAATTAAACTCTCCCCTGAGAATTGTTCTGAAGGCTAAAATGTGAAATATGTAAAAATAACAGTAAAGTGCAATGCAAATGCAGCTACTCAATGTGTGGGCATTATAGGGAATTTTGATGTTCTTTTTCTTTTCTTTCTCTTTAGTGAGAATATTTTTCTTGTGTACCAAAAAGGAATTTGCAGTGTTGGTTGTTAACATGATCATCATTGTCACTGCCTTCTTCACTCGCTTTTTTGTTGCCTCCGGGCCATTGCAGGTTTGTCATGGGGACACTTCTCACCACCTAAATGACCAAAGAGATAAAGCGCTTTCTTAGGACTGGAGTGAAGAAGGCCAATGCTGGTTTCTCCTAGGGAAAGGGGCTGGAGGAAGGAGAGGTAAAAAAGGAATTAACAAAGAGCAATGCATGGTGCCATGTGCTTTTATGAAATAGCAAAGTTGGGTATGAAATAGGACAATGGCATCATCTGTGTTTATAACTGGAAAGGACCTCAGATACCATCCATTTTATAGGTGGGAAATATAAAATGGAGAAGTTAAGTGAATATTTAATGAATTAAGTGATTAAGTGAATGTTAAGTCACAGTTTTAACTGGTGTGTTTGTGTAAAAGCTGGGATTCCCTGTCTGATGCTCTTACTGCCGTGCCTTGAGATTGATATTTGGCATTTCGGGGGGTGGGGAGCTCAAGCACGGAAGTTGCTGTGCATCGCCCTTCAGACACTGGCAAGGAAGGGAGGCCAAGTCAGCAGTTTGGGGTGTGAGGTTTTGTCAGTTTGGTTGGAACAAGACACTACCTTTCTGTGTGCCTCTGCTTTCTTTTTCTTCTTAGGAGGGAGGGAATGGTGGAGTAAAAGTAGACGTTCCATAAACACCTGTGGTTTTGGAGCCATGTCTCCAGAGGGTCGGGGGTTGACCCCTTGGCTTGCTTACCTATGGGATTAAATCCAACACCCGCACTGTGGCGCCCTGTCTTCCCAAACACCAGTCGCACCTCCTTCTGCACCAGCATGCCCCGCCCCACTCCGGTCACATCTGAGGCCGCCCCCTGCACCTGCCCCCTCTTTACCTTTGCTTCCTGATCTACCATATGTCTATTGGTGGACATCCTCATTTTTCAGGGTCTTGCCTAAGTTCCACTTCTCCAGTGAAACTTTTCTTGACCCTCCCCCTGCCTTGTTCCCCCCATAACTCCTAAGCCAGAGTTTGTTTATTTCCTTTTGTGGCCCAGGGACTAGGTTTGTACATCTCTTGTGATACTTAATGTTGGGAGACATGGCCTTAGACCTCCCCATCCAGAGAGATAAACATCTGTGGCATGTGCACTCTGGTCTGGACCTGCTGAGGCAGGGCGTCTACCTTCCTCCAGGATCTCTTCCACCGGTTCGGGAATTTCCTCCAGGGTGCAGCCTGCGAGCTCAGTGGCAAGCCCATGCATGTGTTTGCTTCCTGTCCTCTGCAGATGGCTTTCTTGAACTCTGGGGGTCCTAAAGTGGCCCCACAGTTTGTAGGATGAAGGGGAGGGGTCTTCCAACAGTTGTGCTGCTGTGTTTGCACAAACAGCATGAAACAAGACTCTCACAGTAGCTGTTTGGCTTTCTGGGTCTAACCTCTCTCCCCTGAGGGCTCAAAACCAGTCCCCCAGGCTGAGCAAGTACGTAGATGTATCCTGTCTTCACCATCATATTTATCTAGTCTTTCTGCTCTCTAGAGAGGATGTTATACATATGTGTGTATGTGTAAATATATAATATTAATAGCTGTATATATAACACATGTTATATGCATATATAACAGATATATATGTATATAATTACATATATTTATATATACAGTATAAGCATACATTGTATATACTTATAAATATACATTTTATATATACATTTACAGAATGTATACATATATCATATCATATATGTAGTCATCAAAATTGGAATCAAATTGTGTGTTTTGTAATTTACTTTTTTTTTTTTTTTTTTTTGAGACAGAGTCTCACTTTGTTGCCTAGGCTAGAGTGAGTGCCGTGGCGTCAGCCTAGCTCACAGCAACCTCAGACTCCTGGGCTCAAGCGATCCTTCTGTCTCAGCCTCCCAAGTAGCTGGGACTACAGGCATGCGCCACCATGCCCGGCTAATTTTTTCTATATATATTAGTTGGCCAATTAGTTTCTTTCTATTTATAGTAGAGACGGGGTCTCGCTCTTGCTCAGGCTGGTTTTGAACTCCCGACCTCGAGCAATCCGCCCGCCTCGGCCTCCCAGAGAGCTAGGATTACAGGCGTGAGCCACCGCGCCCGGCCTGTAATTTACTTTTATTTTCATCTAACATTATAAAGTGAATATTTAGCTGTACCCTAAGATATTATTCCTCAATGTAATTTTTAATAGCTGTATCATACTCATCATGTGATTGTACCAAAAATTATTCAACTAGTCTCCAGTTTATTTCCAATTATTTTTACTCCTTTGAATACTGCTCTACATTATTTGAATAATGCTCCACAAAACACACAAAATTTGTGGCATATCCCTGATTGTTTCTTATAAGTAGAATTTCTTATAAGAGGAATTTTCTTGTAATGGTTTCTTATAAGAAGAACTTTGGGCCAAGAGAGAAGCACCTCAAGTACTTTGGATACCTAGTGCCAAACTGAACCCTTCTATTCAGGGTTCACTAGTTCAGCATGACTCAGGGTTTGGGAGTAGAGCAGCAGGTGGAGGCAGCAGTCTTCCCCCTGTCCCCACAGGCCTTCTGGGGTGAGGTTGGAGAGTCTGGACAGGTGGAGTTTGTTGTTTCCCTGGAAGGTCCTGCTTCCTGTAGGTCCTCTAAATCCATCCAGCCCAGCCTCACAGTTCAAGTCTGTTGCTAACTCCAGGAGCCTTGGTGTTCGGAGGAGGGTCAGGGCTGGGGGAAGGGCTGCAAGGCTTTCAAGACCTGGGGAATGGGCAGCAGTCTGGTCCAGGTTAACCCAAGTGATTTCAGTTCTAAAGGGACAGGAAAACTGATTGATATAGAAGCTGTCAAAATATAACTTTCAAGACATTAAAAAAAAGTAGCCCTTTTACTAATGTACAGTAGACTTGCATCAAAAACTTTAACTCATTGTAAAAGGAAAAAAAAATAAACTGCTTCTCTAATTTCACAGCACTGAACACAGATTACTTCTGAGACCTCTGGTCACCAAAATGTGTGGGGATGTCTCCCTACAAGCAGTCCTCCAGTGGCCAACGCCAGGGAGGTGTCCGCTAATTCAGTGATCCCCAAACTATGGTAAGTTGTATAATTATTTCATTATCTATTAAAATGTAATAATAATAGAAATAAAGTGCATAATAAATGTAATGTGCTTGAATCATCCTGAAACCATCTCTTCCACCCCCACCCTCGTCTGCAAAGAAATTGTCTTCCATGAAAGTGGTCCCTGGTGACAAAAAGTTGTGGACCACTGCTCCAATTCAACTCAATTTTGACCCTATCTACCTGGACCTAGAGAGAGCGTCAGATCTCACAGGTTGAGGGCTCAGTCCCACAAAACTGTCCCCCACCTCAGGTGCCAGTGGCGAGTAGTAAGTAAGTTGTCACCTATATTCACTGATGGGCTATTGATCTGAGTTCCCATGGTCCCCTCCCCTGGGTTCCATTAATTTGCTAGAGAGGCTCACAGAACTCAGGGAAATATTTACTTATGTTTATCAGTTTATTATAAAAGATATCACAAAGGGATCAGATGAACAGCCAGATGGAAGAGATGCATAGGGAGAGGCATGTGGAAAGGGGCTCACAGCATCCATGCCTTTTGGGGTGCAAGGCCCTCCAGGAACCTCCATGTGTTCAGCTATCCAGAAGACCTCCCAAACCCAGTCCCTTTGAGTTTTTAATGGAGGCCTTATTGCATAGGCATGATTGATGGAATCATTGGCCATTGGTGGTGGACCCAACCTTCGGTCCCCTCCCCTCCCCAGCAGCTGGGAGGTGGGGCTGAAAGTTCCAGTGCTCTAATCCTGCTGTGGTCTTTCCTGGAACCAGTCCCCATCTGAAGTTTCCTTGGGGCTGCCAGTCACCAGTCATTCATTAGCATACAGAAGACACTTATCACTCCGGAGATCCAAGAGTTTTAAAAGCTGTATTTCAGGAAAAGGAGATGAAGACCAAATATTTATTTCATGATATCACAGTCATCATTGGAGGATCTAACAGAATCAAAAGAGGATATGAGAGACTGAGATACATATTTCCAAAGATAGGTAGATATAGAGATAGATATATATAGACATTCATTTAATCAGTGGAATAAAAACTACTGAAATAAGCAAAATTAGATACAAATCAGGGCAGTAATAAAATAGTTGGGTTTATCTTCTGTACTGTACAGAAATAATTTGGATACTACTGAACAGAAATTGCTTTCCACTAGTCAATCTTCTGCAAGTTAACAAACAATTATTCTACAGAATCTGGCCCTCAATCAATAGTAAAGAGTGAGTCAAACAAAGGCATGTTCCTCTGGAGAAGGGGTGAGCTAACTATGGCCCAAGGGTGAGCTCTGGCCTTCTGCCTGTTTTTGGAATAAAGATTTACTGGAACACAGCTATGCTCATTTGCTCATTTGTCTATGGCTGTCGCAAGGTGGTGTTGAGTAATTGTGACAGAGACCTTATGGCCCTGAGGCCTAAAAGATTCACTATCTGACCTTTTACAGAAAATATTTTATGGATCCCTATCCTAGAGCATCAGATGCCTTTAGGCAGGCCGCTTAGACGCTGCAGAGGCACACGTGTGCTTCTTGCCTATTTTCCACGTGTGGACAATTTTTAACACAGTGCTTTAGCCTTTCCCCCTTTTCCCCTGCTCTAAGAAGGGCAGTTCTGCCTTAGCCAGTCTAGTTGTTTGGACTTTGGTGATGCCAAATCTGTAAAAAAGCAGAGATCTGGGACATGGGGTTTTAACAGGGAGTTTGGAAGAGAAAGGGTGGAGACAGCTGTGAGGGAATTGGATGTGAGGAAAAGGGGAATTTTAAGAAATGCTGCTTGCGTGATTGCATATTTTTTCATGGGGCTTGTCAAAACAAGAATCTGAATTATTTTAAAATTGTGTTTTTGTTGCCAAAATACGTGTGTGTGGTGCGTGGCTGGGTGTTTGCCCCACTCAGTGCTGAGACTGGGGAGCACGGCTGCTCAGCATCAGGACGACAGAGGGACCCACGAGGTGGTTGTGCACAGTGACTGTCAACCTGGTGGGAAGGGGATGGCGGCACTGCAACCTGAGGACCACCTGGGGGACTCCTCTCTCTGAGGTCTTTTGGCTTCGAGAGCCTCGAAGGGCCTGTGGTGTCAATTGACTTTTTATTAATAAAAATTGTATTATATTATATTAATTTATTTCAATAGATTTAAGGGTACACGTGGTTTTCGGTTACATGGATGAGTTGTATAGTGGTGAAGTCAGGGCTTTTAGTTTACCCACCACCCGAATAGTGTATACTGTGGCCATTGGGTAATTTTTCACTGCCCCCTTTTTGACTCTTCAATGTGCATTATATTACTGTAGACTCCCTGTGTACCTATAGCTTAGCTCCCACTAATAAGTGAGAATGTATGGTATTTGTTCTTCCATTCATGAGACACTTCCCTTAAGATAATGGCCTCCAGTTCCATCCAAGTTGCTGCAAAATACACATAATTTCATTTTCTTTTTTATGGCTGAGTAGTACTCCGTGGCGTGTGTGTGTGTGTGTGTGTGTGTGTGTGTGTGTAGGTATAATATATACACCACATTTTTTTATCCACTCATTGGTTGGTGGCCACTTAGGTTGATTCCATGTTTTTGCAGTTGTGCATTGTGCTGTGATAAACATAAGAGTGCAGATGTCTTTTTAATGCAATGGCTTCTTTTCCTTTGGGTAAATACCCAGTAGTGGGATTGCTGGATCAAATGGATAGGTCTACTTTTAGTTCTTTGAGGAATCTCCATACTCTTTTCTATAGAGGTTGTACTAATTTACATTCTCACCAACAGTGTATAAGCCATTCCCTTTTCACTGCATGCACACCAGCGCATCTATTGTTTTTTGACTTTTTAATAATGGCCGTTCTGATTGAGGTAAGGATCATTGTGGTTTTAATTTGCATTTCTCTGATGACTAGTGATGTTGAGAATTTTTTCCTATGACTTTTGGCCATTTGAATATCTTTTGCAAAATGTCTGTTCATGTTATTTGCCCACTTTTAAATGGGATTAATTGATTTTTTTTTTTTGCTGAGTTTTTTGAGTTCCTTATAGATTCTGGATATTAGTCTTTTGTCAGATGTATAGTTTGCAAATATTTTCTCCCATTCTGTAAGTTGTCTGTTTACTCTGTTGATTATTTCTTTTGCTGTGCAGAAGCTTTTAAATTTAATTAAGTCCCACCTATTTATTTTTTATTTTATTGCAATTGCTTTTGGGGTCTTAGTCATAAATTCTTTGCCGAGGCCAATGTCCAGAAGAGTTTTTCCTAGGTTTTCTTCCTGAATTTTTATGGTTTCAGGTCTTGCATTTAAGTCTTTAATCTATATTGTATTAATTGTTTCAATTGATGTTTTGTGATATTAGTTGACTTTTTTAAGGTTCAAGAGGACCTGTGTGTATAGAAAGGATATTTACAGTTACTTGAACCTAAATTTCTATAATTAAATTTATTATAATTATATATTTGAAAACCTAAATTTTCTTAACACTTTAAGGTCAACTGACAAATCTTGCTATGCTATTGATAAGGCCAATTTTTTTGTGTAGCCAATAAAAAGCCCCTTTTCTTTAAATTAATGCTCAGTTATGTCACAGTTGTTTCTGACAACTTTCACAACATATTAAATCCCCCTATATATTTAACTCTCTTTTCTAGCATAGTTAATTGAGTTCCCTTAAATAGTGCAAATTTAATATATCTGATTATTTCAAACACATCAAATGTCTGCCAGGGCAGACTTAAACATTTAACAAATAAAATCTTTCTAAGCACCCAAGTGTTTCCTATAACTCCAAACAAACAAACAAAAAAAAAAAGAAAAGAAAAGAAAAGAAAAGAAAAACAGCAAAGGAAAAAAATGTAGTAAATCAGGCTGTAAAAATTCACTTTTTACAAACTTAACCACATTGTTTTATATTCTTCAAATCAAAATCAGAAGTCTAATATCAATTACACATTGCAAATTGAAATTACAAAGTTATTTCAGATTCTTTAATGTGTAAAATTGTTTCAGATACATTAAATAATTATCTGGAGGATTCTAAAGCAAAACTTATTTCTAAACTTAACAAGTTAACACAAAAGTGTTACTGTAATTCATTTCCTTTAGGTTATCAGCTGCATTTTTTTTTTTTTTTAATACTTACCTGGTGTTGTAAAGCCTCTGAACCAAGTGGTGGACATCTCAGGTCAACTACTGCAAGTGGTTCCTGGGTCGAAGATTCTGACCCTGAGGTTGCTGGGTCAAAGATTCAGGAATTTGATTTGGGCTATTGGCTAGAGAGACAGGGTTACTGGTCGACACACGTCACAGGGTAACACACTGAGCTAATTCTCAGAGTTGGAGCTGGACTCCTATGTCAGTGAGAGGTTCTAACACCAGGCTTTTTCGCTGTGAACTGGTTGCATAACTAAGTCTCAGGGACATCTTTCAAAGGTCATCCTTACCCAATTTTTTATCTTATCAGCTTTGAACTTTTCATACCTGATTTAGGTAGGTAAAATTTTGCACCTCCTATCTGGGTTGTAATTAATATCTTTCATTGCTTTATCTGATTTAACCAATTTCTTTAATGCCTGATTTTTTTTAATGTCTGCTGATGACTACAATTCTATATACTCATTCTATTGATTAATGGGTGCTTTAAAATCCCAGCATTCATATACATTTATTGTCTGTGATGGCCCATCCCGCCACCCCATCAGCCGGAGTGCGTGGTCTCTGCTGTGAGCTGCCATGTGACAGTAAGGAAGAGACGCTTCTCAGACTCATCTAGAAGAAGCCAATAGGACCTCACAGGAGCTGAAGGTAAAGTACAGCAATATTTGGAGTGTGGCAGAAGACGACTCCAAGAGGACATGACAGTGGCCTGTGTGGTTTGGCCCATTGAGGAAGAGCTGGAGAGGACAGCCCAGCCTGCCCGGGAACAGCCACCACAGCGATCTCAACAGCTAACACGACGGAGCATACTTTAGGTGCTATTAATGTTTTATCCAGAAAACAGGAGCAATCAGGAAGGAGCTGCCTTGTGTCTCTACCCCAGGAATTACAATCCTATTTGCATGTGAACCATGTACATCACCTCCCCTACGGGTTCCTTTGCTCTCCTGCGTAGATGATGGCTCCTTCCCTCTTACCGCATGATTCCTGTGAATCCACTAATGTGCTCTGTAGCATCTCCCATCTTGAATGTAAAATCCCTCTTTCGATCCCATGGCTCCTTCCGGCTACCCCTGCATTTCTCTGTCCCCACCAAGTCCTTGCCTTATGTTCTCCCCTCCGCCCAGTCCAGTTAGGCTTCTGTCCTCAAGCCCTTCCTCACCGACAGGGTCACTGACAGCCTCTTTCCAGCCAAATCCAATGGCCAGGTGCCCGTTACTCAGGTCCTCGTTGGACCTGGCAGGCCATGTTCTCCTCATCCAGCTTTCCCTGTTCTCTCCCCTCTCCTGACGTTCCTCTCACCGGGCAGGCTCCTCTGCGTCTCCTTTGATGCTCCATCTGTTCCTTCCAGCCTCACTGCACCGTTGTGCCCAGCACTCAGATTTCAGCCGTTCTCTCTTTTCCAGCTACAGTCTCACATTAGGTGGCTTCTTGTGTCCCACAGCATTATATGCCTTGTTCATGCCAGTTACTCCTGAATCTGAATCTCAAGGAAGATTCAAATTTTATAGTCAACTGACTATTTGACATCTTCACGTGGATATCTAATAAGTATCTCAAATATAACTTGGCCAAAATACAGAAATTTTGACCTCCGCACCTTGACCCCTTCTCCAGCCTTCTCCATTTTCCCTTAAATGCCCCCATTTACACAGTTAGTCAGCCCTCAAACCATGACTCCCCTTGACTCCTCTTGTCCCTACATTTCCCACATTGATGCCACCTGCCGGTTCTGTTGTCTTTGTCCCCGGAATATATTGCTCACCATTGCTCTCCTGTTACCCTGGTCCAAGATGCCATTCACTCCTGCGTAGTCCCTTGCCACAGCCTCTGACTGGTCCCTCTGCTCCCACTCTTGGCACCCGACTCTCCTATGCCCAGGGTCCAGGTCTGTTCTTTGTACAACAGCTAGAGTGGCATTTTAAAGCCATAAGTGAGATCGTTCCTTCTGTGTTTAAGAATGTCCTCTGGCTTTGCATCACACACCACATCCACCCAGCTCCCACGGAGGTCTGGCCCTCACCTGCCTCCCCATCCTCCTCTCAGCCCTCTGCCTGCTCACTCTGCTTCAGCCACGCTGGCCTTCACACCGTGCCTCACTCCTGCTAAGCCCACTTTCAACCTCGGGGGCTTTGCACTCTTTGTTTCCTTTTCTTGGCATGCCACTGCCCCAAATCCTTGCACGATTGGTACCCTCTCTACATCGGGGCCTCTGCTCAAAATACCTTCTCAGAGGAGCCTCCCCTGGCCACCTCACCTGAATAGGACCTCTCATTGCACCCACCCATTTCTCCTCTATCCTTTTCTCCTGCTTGGTTATTTTCCATCACTGAGGAGGAACTGAACCACAGAATGTTGGAGCTGATGACCAGGGCTTGCCCCCACCCCCTCATTATTGCAAAGGAGGAAATGAAGTCAGAGGGAAGATGGGCCCAGGACTTCCACTCCAGTTCTCTTCCCCACACCCAGGCATCAAAGGAAGATTAGGTGGCATGACTGCGGTCACAGCCCTGACATCAGCTGTGGACACTCTTGGCGTTCATCTGACCCAGTGGACACACTCCCCGGGCAGGCAGCCGCATGAGCAGTGGAGGGAAGGCCAGAGTGGCCTTGGTGTTTCATCATGTTTGCTCTTCTCTTAGTCTCCAACAGGTCAGAACAGTAGGCTTCCTACATCCCTAATCTTAGGAAGTTAAATTGCCCTGAGATATCAGAACCCCTGGGATATGAAACAAAGGGGAAGTATAAGTGTTCAGTGCCCAGTGAAGGACTCTACCAACTTCTTGTTGTTCTGGTGGTTGTCCATTCTTTAGCTCCAACATGACTGAAAGAAGACTTGAATAGGTGGTTGTTTAAATCATTAAAAATAATTTTGGGTGATAGGCGACTATGTGACTTTTGGCAAGTGATTTTTGGAAGGATTTTAAATAACTGAGTGACAATGCTCTGATACACTCCCTTTCATTTCCATCTACTTATTATTTATAAGTACCAGCTTTCTCAGAGCTTATGTTTAAAAAGCCAAAGTAAAAATAAAGCCAATATTGAATTCTTATTCTAATTAGGAGTAATATATAAATTTATGAAATAATTTTTAAAAGGTCTATCTCCTTAAGATATATTGCTAATAAAAATCAACATTTGAAATATAGTTGTTATTTTGATCAATTGTATACTAACGAGGATAACTCAATCTGGAAAAATTAAAAAATGTAGTATCCTGTGCTTACATAAATATGTAATAAATTAGATTTTCATTGAACACATATTTTTGTTGTCAGAAAGTTGATCAATAAAATGCTTTTAAGCATAACATATATTACATTAGTGTGAAATTTTATGGAGAAATGAGTAGAAATATCAAAGAACAAAAAGGAATGTGAAGTTTCTTGCTATTGAAGAAGCATTTGGGTCATTTGTAGGTGGGATGACAACAGGAAGCAATCACTAGGGTACTGGGTACATTTACAAAGGCAATATATAGTTTTTCTTTTAAAATGTCGATACTTAAATATTCCAGAAATAATAACACTTGCAACTAACTTTTTTTTGTTTAAATTTGAGAAACTTGATTGGAATTAATTGATCATTATTTTATTTATTTATTTATTTATTTATTTATTTATTTTTATTTCAGCATAATACAGGGTGCAAATGTTTAGGTTACATATATTGCCTTTGCCCCACTTGAGTCAGAGCTTCAAACATGTCCATCTGCCAGACAGTGAGCACTGCTGCACCTATTAGATGTGAATATACCCAAACCCTCCTCCCCACTCCCACCTGCCTGACACCCGATGAATGTTACTACTAAATGTGCACGCAAGTGTTGGTCAGTTAATATCAATTTGATGGTGAGTACATGTGGTGCTTGTTTTTCCATTCTTGGGATACTTCGCTTAGTAGAATGGGCTCCAGCTCCTTGCAGAATAATACAAGAGGTGCTAGATCACCATTGTTTTTTGTGGCTGAGTAGTACTCTGTGGTATACATATGCCACATTTTATTAATCCACTCATGTATTGATGGACACTTGGGTTGTTTCCACATCTTTGCAATTGTGAATTGTGCTGCTATAAACATTCCAGTGTGGATGTCTTTTTTATAGAATGTCTTTTGTTCCTTTGGATAGATGCCCAGTAATGGGATTGCTGGATCAAATGGTAGTTCTGCTTTTACCTCTTTAAGGCAACTAACATTTTAAAAATTTAGACCTAATTAACCTAAAATATGCATTTGGAGTGGGGTTGGAGGATCCATAGTTTTTAAAAAAAATTTTTTTTAAGGGGATATGTAAGCTAAAATTTTGGAAGACCAATGTTCTCCAAGGAGTATGGCCCTGGAAGGGCCTTCTGGGGAGGGAATTGGACAGTGAACAGTGCATCAGGAGGACATTACCTCCTTGGGTTAAGGGTCCCACATCCAAGGCTGGGAGGATTCTGAAGCTCAGCCTCACCTACTTCTTGGGCACCTGAGAGGCCTGTCCTGTCTGCTCCCATGCTTGCTTTCTCTTCCAGGTGCTAATGCATAGGATCCAGACACATTTTATTTTAAAGCCAAACCATAGCATATGTGGGCACTCCTATATATATATCTGGATTCCAGATATCCATCTGCTCTAAGGTCTCATCCAAGTCAACATTCACATGCAAACTATGTGGCCCCTTTTGGCCAGGTGCTTCTTCAGGTGACATGCTCAGGAGGTAGCTGGGACTCCCTCGGCCAGCCCTTCCTGATCCCTGGGTCCCATTCAGCCACAAAGGAAAGATTTCAAACCTTTTTGGTCTCTGAGGGCTGATGGGATTGGGCTGCAGGTGGCAGGGGCAAGGGGCTGGAGAGAAAGGGAAGCAGTAGCCCTTTCAAACAGCCTGTGGGGGAGCTTGGGACCCAGAAGGGAGTGGCTGCATACTGTCACGGATCACATTTCTGCCCTCAGAGGACCAACTGCATTTGCCCAGGCACAGGCCTCATCCAGACCCCTCTTTTTCTAAATGCTCCACTTCCCAGAAGGTGAAATGTTCTCAGAGATGGGGAGACCCCTGAGACAGGAGAGCCGCCAGGGCCCCGGGCACCTTCCTTGTTTCCTTCTGGCCCTACCTTTCCTGGTGGCCTTGGCCCATGTGCTGCATTTCATGGTTGTTTGACCTGGTTTATGAGAGGGAGCTGATTTTCATGATTATTTATGTAAACAAATAATTATGCTAATACAAATAAGAAAAGCAGGGCTAAGGATTTTCCAGAGGGGGAAAAACCTGTTACTTGGCTTGCTTCTACACTATTAATTTAGGACTCAGGATGTGGGTGATATGTGCTAAGAACTGGGAGGAGGCCCTGATTGTGGTCCCTCACCCTGGACACCAGTCCTCTAGGTCACCCTTGCTCCAGCTTCCAGTTGAACCAGATGTTTGTGGGTGGCTCAGCAAGGCTGTATGGGGAATGAGGAATGGGTTGGGGAGGAGGTCTGTGCAGAAGACAGGTTGACTTACCTCCCACCTTTGACCAGGATGTTTATAGCAGCCACCTAACTCCAGTCTGTCTTTCAGACCAGAAATGATCTCATACATCATTGCATCCTGTATCCTCCTCCAGTCAGATACTTGCTGCCTCCAGCCTAAGCCTATAGGATAAGCCATAGCCTGCCATGTGGCTGGCCTGTCACAGAATCTGAGACAGCAAGTTAAGTTCACAAGCATTTGCCTTCTGGTCTCCAGTTACCTGGGATCTCCCTGAAAGTTGTGGAGGTCTGGCCGGGTGGGGTGGCTCATGCCTGTAATCCTAGTACTCTGGGAGGCTAAGGCAGGAGGATCGCTTGAGGTAAGGAGTTCAAGAGGAGCCTGAACTAGAGTGAGACCTTGTTTCTACAGGGGTAGAAACGGGGGTAGAAAAATAGGAAAAGTTAGCCAGGTGTGGTGATGCGCGCCTGTAGTCTCAGCTACTTAGGAGGCTGAGGCAGGAGGATAGCTTGAGCCAAGGCATTTGAGGTTGCTGTGAGCTGGGCTGATGCCATGGCACTCTAGCCTGGGCAACAGAGTGAGACTGTCTCAAAAAAAAAAAAAAAAAGCTGTGGAGGTGTGGTGTGTTGCCTATTGGAGGTGCAGACTAGTTGACTTCCCAGCCCATCAGAAAGACTTCCTTCATCCAGTTGTATTTTGCGAACTTGGTCAGATCCAGGGAGGATTCTTGGCTTTCTCCACTCAAAACGTCTGACCATTTCCATTTAGTGGCAGATCGTTTCTCTCTTTTGGGCCAAGGACACGTAGTACAGAGAAAGGGAGAATTGTTATCAGGAAGAAAACTTGGCTCCAAACCAGGAATAGAATAGCCCCTATAGGGTCAATTTTAGTCTTTGGCTCATATCCAGGAATTGGAACCCAAGCCTTTTGAATATTTTAATGCAGAGGATTAAATAAAATGATTAAGTAATTCACTAATATATTCCTCTTGTAAAAAATTCAGATGTTATAAATAAAGCTAAAGTTCTCTTGATGACTTTCTCTCCTGCCCTACCCCTCTCTAAGTAGCCGCTATCTTTAGCTAGGTCAGTACCCTTCCAGAGTTCTCTGCCTTTACATACCATTAGAACGTGCTGTATATTTTCTTTTCCATAAATGCTGCCACTTTGTGCTTGTTGTTCTGCAGTTCACCTTTTTCTTATGATGATTTGCCTGGATATCTTTCTATTTCAGTACCATCTCCTTTCTTTTTTAACTTACCACAGTTCATTTAACCTTCCCTCTACCAACGGATATTTAGGTAGTTTCCAGCTGATTTGTTAAATATTTATAAACAACGCATTAGTAGACATTCTTGAACTTATTTCTTTAGAGAAGACAGCAAATAGTGGAATTTATGAGCCATAGAGGATTTTTTCTTAAAAAAGTAGACATTGCCAATTTTCCCTGTAAAATAGCTGTACTCATTTACTCATACATAGATGATTGCAATCTGGCCTCCTTACGAAGTGAGATGCCTTAACAGTTTGTCATTCTTCCCGACATGTCTTTGCTTTTGGACCTGAGATGTGTGGGTGGAATTGTATCACTCGATCAAGGAAAGGGGGCTGTGTCACAGCTGGGGCTCACAGGCATTTCTGCTTTCTTCCCAGACCAGCTGCCCGTCTGCCACCAGCTCCATTCTGTCTTGCAGAACGGGTGCCACTTGGGTGCCTGCTCCTAACAGCCATGCCTTCCTTCGCACTGCAGTTAGGAAGCAGATGGAGCTTGCGGAGGGGCTCTGGCTTGGCTAGGAGAGCTGCAAAGAAGGAGGAAAAGAGCGCATTGGGAATGAGCTGCTGAGGACTGGCACATTTCAGCAGTTGTTTTTCCACAATAGGTCACATATTTCTCTTTTATTGGACAAAGGTTTGAAAAATTATTATTTTATTCCTGAGTAATATTTATATGATTCAAAAATTACACTATATCAAAAGTATATGTAGAAATGTCTTGCTCCCACCCTGTCCCCATATATCTTATTCTCCAGCCTCCCACAACTACTTTATTCATTTCTTATGTCTCTTCCAGAATTTTTGAAATCACATACAAGCACAGTGGAATGCATTGCCTTTTCCCCTCTGCCCTTTGTCACACAAAAGTTAGCACACCATAAACAAGGTTTCATCTAGCTGTTTTTCCCTTATCAACATATCTTGGAGAGAACGCCATACTGATGCAGAGAGTGCTTTCTCTGTCTTTTTTATAGCTACATAGTAGTCCATGTCCCATAATTCATTTAGCCAGTCTCCTGGTGATAGACACTTGGGTTATGCACAACTTTTCCTATTACAAACGATGTCATGAGTAATTTTGATCATTTGTCATTTCACGTGGGTTATGTCCATCTGTAGGATAAATCCCCAGAAGTGAAATTTCTGGGCCAAAGGGGAAGCACACTTGTGATTTTCAGAGTTATTACTAAATTTTCCTCTATAGGGATCATGCCAACTTGTACTCCCATGTGTAGTGTTTATCGGTGAGGGTTTCTCTACAGTTTCACCAACAGGGTGTGTGTTAAACTTTTGATTTTGTCAACCTGATAGGAGAACATTGGTATCTCAAAGTGCTTTTAATTTGAATTTCTTATTACCAGTGATGTTGAGCATCTTTTTACTCTGTCCAAGATCTAATAGTATTCTCTTTCCTGTGAACAGCTTGTTCATATCCCTTGCTTATTGTTTGTTGAATTTTTGTTCTTGTTTTTTCTAATGTTTTGATGAAGCTCTTCATATGTTGAACAAATGATCCCTTTA